CCTCCCCCCCCCAAAAAAATCCCAAACAAAAAAAACCCCCAAACCTGGTGTGCGTGTGCATGCGTGCTTTCTAGTGCCAACCTGTTAGGCAAGGCGAAGTGCTCAGCTGGTTCATTGCTGCCCAGTTCATAGCTGGTTTTTCTATGTCCAGAAATTTCAAAAAGAGTAAGATGTGGTGGAGAAATGTTAACTACAAAAGGGCTTGGCTATGCCTTGGGGCTTTTAGCGTTTTCCCATGTGTTTCTGCTGATTTGCTTGGGCAGGGTGATGTGCCAGGCTGTTGTTATGAGCCAGATCGAGCTTGTTGTCCAAGGGGGTGAAAGGCACGGGGGCGTCTGAAGGGCAGAGTTCAGAGCTGGATAGAGTCAGCCTTGAACATCCCCACCACCACCCCCAAAATGTCAGCTTTCCGAGATGGCTCATTTTGAGCTATTTATGGAGGGTGGGGGAACTCCTTCATACACACAGAAAGGCAGAGGTTGAGGGAAAGCAGCCAGCCCCCCTGCCCTGTCCCCAGCCTGACAGCCTCATCTAGTGGCAGCTGCCAGCACAGGGTGTCCCCTGCCTGGTGCTCCTGGCAGCTGCCAAGGCCCCAGAGTATTAGAGAATATCCAGAAAGAGCAATGCAAAACATTATTCCAGTGTTGGCACCACAGAGGTGAGGCTTTAGGAAGCCTGGTTCCAAGCTCAGGAGGGGTGAAGTGTTGCCTACCAAACCCGCCGCTGCTTGCATGCTTGCATGGGGTTGGCATTTTGGTTTTAGTTTGGTTTTTTTTATTATTATTTGGAAAACTGAAAAGCATTTCTAGGTGAGCTTCTGAAAATGGAAAGCAGGTCTTGGACTAATTAATAGGATACGTAAGATGCAGCACTGAACTGTATGGGCCAAAGTTGCTGTGTTTGGCAAAACTAGTGGTAGAGTGGGGAAAGCAGCTGGAACCTCACCAGGCTGCCAGTGCTGGCTCTGGGTTACAGAAATGGGGCAGGAAATGGTGGAGACTTCTTCTGGTTTGGTTTTCTTCTGGCAGTTGGAAGCAGTGAGACTTTCACAGTGATGAAACGTCATTGGGATGCTGCATCTTGCTGAAACAAATTCCCGTTGCTGCAGGGACTCCACAACTTTGGGGGGACAACTGTCTAAGTGTCTACTTTAAAAGTTTCTGAGGATTTGCAAAGAGAATACTGCATGGGTGGGATGGGTGGTGGTGTAATAAGAAAGAAGGTCCTGTAGAAAAGAAAGCCAATGTCTAATCCCAGCTATAGTACCTGCCTCCCCCTGCCCGCCCCAAGTCCCACCATGCAAACAAGATGAAGGCAGAGGACACAGTGGCACTGGAAGATTATTTAAGCCAACATGACATTGGATACACTTCATAAAGGGCTTATCCTCTTTTATAAGAATAAATAGATGATTAACAGTCATGAGCAATGCCTGCACCTACCCCAGTACAGAGAGGCATTTGTTGGGTGTTTTTACAGTAGAATGGGGAAATGCTCCATTATCTCCCAGGGACCCACCTCTGGGCAGAGCTTTCCAGCCTAAAAACCTGGAAAATCACTGCAAAAACTGCCAGCAGCAAACCAACCCGTGGGCAAGATAAGATGGCAAGTTCTGAAAAAGGGAGCATCCCTGCTACAGAACAGAAGCAGCCAGAGCATTTTTAAGAGGTTTGAAGGGGGGACTGGGAGCGGTGGAGGAGGATCTCTCCTGGAAACCCAACAACTTGGCTAGATTTAATGCTAGCTGCAGCACGATCAGGCCTAAAATTGCAGGATGAAACTTTATTTTTTAACACTTGTCATAGGCCTGCTTCTGCTCCCACTCCTTCCCCAGGGCTGAACTGGCAACAGGCTCGGCCTGTGAGGATAGGTGCTCTTAGGCATGCACTGTGTAACCTAAGTCTACCCTTAAAGTCATCCAAGGGATATTAGCAGTCCATTTGGTGATGACCTACTTACTTAAGAAATACTGCTTAGTACAATAGGCCATGCATGCTCGTCATAGAAATGTTAATTACATATCGCAAGCTCTTCCCAGACAGCCCTGTCCTTAGGACTCCCTGTTCCGTCTCTGAAATTACCTTGGTGGGAGACAAATAGCTTCCAAGGAGCTCCACAGAATGCCTTGACGATAAGTATTTATTCATATGTTACATTTAAACATAAATAATTGAGCAATAGAGTAGTCTGCTCCCAACAAAAATAAATAAGTCAATACACAATATTCATAAAATACAATTAGACAGAATGTTATAACAAATACAACAAAGTTTGCAGAGGTTTGTTGTTTTTTGTTTTCTTTTAAACAGAGTTGTATGGTACATTCCCAACATACCAAAGAAAAATAGTGCAGTTCTACTTTTTACATCACTTCCTCAGGCTCCGATTTAGAGGGTTTTCTCGCTCTTGTCAATTTTTTTGAAAAATACTATTTCAGTTTTCAAGTGAACCAACAGACACACAAACTGAAGCGCTTTTGAGATCTTTCAGCAACCATGCACTGGCCTATAAAACAGTTGGACACACAGCTATAAATAATAATGAGATCAGATTGCGAGCATGCCTGCAGCACAACTTCTTGGCTCCTGGTCCTGAGCACACCCTAACTCCTGGAGGCGCGGGGGTGAGCAGTAGAGCTTATCATAACTTTTTCCTTCTGTAACTCCCACTGTTGTTATTTTAGCACTGTAATGCGCAGAAAGGGGGTTTCCTTCCCAACAGCCTCCTCTGCAGCATCTCTCTCAGAACTGAGTGGGCTCATCTGTTCTCGCTTCTGTTTTGCGACCCTGATGCTTGTGAGCCCGGAGGACAACAGGCTTGTCCTTGAAGGCATCTGGCTACACCAGCAATGGGGGACTTCTGGTTTGGGTTTGTGTTTTTGTTTGGTGGTTTGGTTTTGGTTTTTTTTACCCTCCCCTCAAATTTTTGGAGACCAATTTAAGGGAGGGCTTGGCTATTGAGCCAAGAAGCACTTTGTGTGCATTTTTTCCCTTTTTGGACTATTATTTACCATTTTTAGTTTACTGCAATCATAAAGGAAGATCTAAGCACAGATAGTCTTTCTAGAACCAAATCTACCCTCTTGTGCAAGTAGTGCACAGCTCATGAGGATCCCAAGGCAGCACTTGCCTAGTGCAAAGAGCAAGAGTGCCCACTGCTCAGGTAATCACAAGACTAGAGTTACTAAATACTTCCTATTGGTATTTGAATTTTCAAACAGAATAATTTTATTTCCTACACCTCTCTTTTTTGCTGAAATCTGATGTTAAAAGCTCACGTGAACTGATCTAATTCATGTAAACTTCTCTGAGCAACCTGATCTAGTTGAAGATGTCCCTGCCCATGGCAGGGGGGTTGGACTAGATGACCTTTAAAGTTCCCTTCCAACCCAAACCATTCTATGAAAAGCACAGAGTTGTTTTCTCTACAAGGTTGAATGGAAACAAAGCTGTCTGCTCTGAAGGATAAAAAAAAAAAAAAACCACCCAAGAAGCAGAAACAAATATTCAGATTAAAACTTTTTTTTTCTCTTTAAAAATCGCTGAGGTTCTAATGGCAAAGGGTGGAATACTTTGGAATACATGCAGTGCTTACACTAAGTTCCTAGGTTTCCTAGGAGCACAAGTCGCGAGTATCCATGAAATCTGCAGCTAACCGCATTAGCAAAAACCTGCTCCCTCCCTCCCTCTCGCTGACGGAGATATACTTTACTTGGAAACAACATGCACCCTGGGAAGGTAGGTAGGTAAAGTACATGTGTTAATTTTATACAGTGTGATGAAGTGCTAGGACAGCAGCAGACCTATTTGCAGCTCCAGGGCAGAAGCCCAGCTAACCCTTAGTCACCTCTGCTCTCTATGCAGGATGGGGTGAAACATATGCTGCTAAAGCATGCAGCCAAGCAGGAAAAGAAGTGGCACAGAACTTCCACGGGGCGCATGGACAGCTCTATGAAACAGCATGGTGCTGCAGCAAAGGGGATCGGATCCCGGGCAATGATTTCAACTGCTTCATCAGGCAAGTGCTGATACCTGCTTGAGTAGATGCGTGCCTGGTTTGCATTCACAGGATCCCAAGGAAAGTCCTCCCGGAAAGCTCTGCAGAGCAGGGAGGAGGAGGCTAGTAGTGTGCAGTGAGTAATCTGGAGGAGGCGAGGCTCTGCTGTGTCTGCTCTGTGATGTAGGATCTGAACTTCATGGCACTCTGCACAGACGCAAAGAGTGTGGGAGCTGCTAACATGAGCAGGGGACCCATTTCTGTGTGCTAAACTTGTTAACCTGAACTACATTAGGCAGATCCTGTCATCTGGGAATATTTGCAGAGTAAGTTTGCAAAGTAAAATGAAGGCATGTCTATGGCATGTGTAGGCCATGAAGACTCAATAGCACGAGCTAGTCAGCAAAGGCTAACTGATGTTTTTAGCTAATGTTGCCAGATCTTCACTGCTCATATTAACTATGTTATTTAGTTTAAGGCCATTCTTCCAGCTGGTAACTTTATTTACTTTAATTGCTGCTAAATATCCTGCTAAATGTATTCTCTTCCATGTTCAAGGCATAGACAATGAATCCACAAACGTGCTCCACCAAGGACCCAATTCAACACTTGCAACACTTTTTAGTGAGTATTGGAACTGGCCTTACCTCCTCCATGGAAGGTTCTGGCAGAGCACACAATGTGCATCCAGGCTTTAAAGGTGCAGTAAGTCAAAATATAAATGTTCTAGTATGTCAAATCCCCCCCTTTTTAATATCTCAAATATGTAGATAGATGGTCTTCTAGAGAGGGAAATAAGAGAATGCAAAAAGATTTTGTCTAGAAATACAAAGTGAGTGTAACAAGGACTATCAAACACAAACTTTATCTGGTAAAGGAAAAGTTCTGGTTTTAAAAGTCTGTTACAAATCTCTTTGATATTTATTACATTACATGGAAGATGCAATTAAAACACCATTTTGAAGTTACAGTGCAAGAAACGCTCCATCCGATAGCTCACAAGGCCCACAATGACAGTCTGTTCATGATCACTTATTTTCAATCAGTGTCTGCACTTTGTAGACAAGGTCTCTTGCTATCCTCAGAATTTCCTCGGCATTATGATGCTCTGCCATTTCTAAAAGACACAGACAAACATTCTTAACTGTCAGCAGTGGGAACTTTTCTGCCTAGCATTGATGCTATTCATGTAGCATTAACATTAATAAATCAGTGTAACATTAGCAGCAATCCAAAAGCATTGAGGGGGTTAGGTTTGTAGAATTAAAGATAGAATAAGCGGATGAATCCCTTAGTGCTGTAGGTCCTGGCATCAAGATCTAATCCTTTTGGTGTCAGTTCTCTTGTTGCAGAAATCCCAGTGCCCTGTGACCCCAGACCAGGAATGGGAGATCTGTACCCACACGTGCCTGTGAACAGCTCTCCTGGCATCTCAAAAATGTAAAGCTGAGCTCAACTTGATCAAGATACATCTCCAGGCAGGGACTGTTGCTGGAGGGTCTGGGATGAAAGTGATAAATACAATTAAGAAGGGCTTCATGTACATGGGGCAACATGCCCACATAGTTCCACATACAGATGTCCACACTGAAGCTTGACGCAAGATCAGGAAGTAGCTCTTGACAGACCCGAATCTTCAGTTCCACAATAATCATTTCATTCAGCTTAGGTAAGTACTGAGTTTTTTTTTTGTTTGGGTTTTCTGGAGGGTGGGGTTTTTTGGTAGTGCTTTTTGAGGGAAGCATTAATGTATAGCTTTGGAATAAGAGTGGCTGAGGCAAAAACCAAATTTGGGGCTTCTGCAACAGATGACTGAAAGCCACAGCACTGATAATTTAGTAAATTACTGTGATTACACAAAATTGTTTCCAAATCTCTTAAAATATCCTAACAGGGAGCACTCGTTTAGGACTAACTTGCATTCCACAGCCAGGAAGGGACCTAGCTCGCTTTGGCAGAATACTTTTTGCTCTGGCAGTAGATGTTGGCTAGCATCTATGGACAACTATGGTAAGCAATCAACCATGGAAGCAGTTTGGGATGTTCTGCACGAACAGTTGCTTATACGTTTCAGCCTCAGCAGAGTCAAGCCCTCTAAACAGAAATGACTCTGGCAATCTTAAAACCCATGAGAGACTTTTGCAAAAAAAAAAAAAAGCAACATTTTAACACCTCCCATTAAACCAAGGGCAAAGAGTCACTGTGGCAAATCTTTTTAAGAGAAATTATGAAGCTTGCTTTGTGGTAATTTTTACCACTGACACTGAAATAGCTACCATCTTCTATGGTCCATGTAGCTCTTAAAACACTGCTGTTTGTGTGCCAAGTCAGATCTTCAGGAAGCATGTAAAAATCTGGGCTCTTTGTTTACATGAAGGGGTAAGAGATTCAGAGCTTAAAATGACCAGGGGCTTGTCATGACAGCAAGAACACTGCACAACTGCAGACAGTCTGAGTAAGGGAGAAGGAGCAAACGCTGGCTTTTTATCAAAATGGCTCTCTTAAGTCTCTTACCGTTAAAAAACTTGATGATATCAGTGAAGTCCATGTTGTTATCACGGATAATCTCTCGATAAACTTCCACAAGTGCTAAGGCAATGAAAAGGACAAAATGTTCTGAAGAGATGTGCTTTGCTGCCCAAATAACTTCCCACACTGTAAATACATCCTCGTACAACAATTCTGAATGGGAATAAACATTACAAGAGCATCTGATTATTCAAATTGACCATTTCCCCCTCTCTAACTAATGTCTTACAGGCCTTACGCAGACATGAGCAGTACTTGATGACTCCTCCTTTTCCTCTCCCCCTCTGCTCCAGCCAACTTGTGTCACTTACTTGTGCAAGTATGGCAACAGAATTGGATTTAAAGGAAAATTAAGAAAGAATGTAGGTGTGGCAGTGCAGATGACCCCAGGAAGATGTCTAAACTGCAGTAACCATGTGACAGCAGCGTAAGTAGACTCATTTATTCTAGGCAGGGCTACATGACAGGCTGCAAATCTGACTACGTATCCAGGACCCCCTTCTTGGCTTTCCAGTAGACCTATTGGTGCTAAAGCTCTGCTATTTTTAATCAGCAACAATTAATTGTATAGCAGATGTGTGTAAGCTAGGTCTACATATGCTGCAATTCAGATATGACCATGGAAGCTTTGTTGTCTTGAACCATATAGGCTTGTCTTCTGCCCAGTCTGTCACAGTGAGGTCCAGGGGACTGGGATGTGGGGAACAGGCAATTCTCTGTGAAGGAGCAGGTAGAGGGCTTAAGAGTCACAATTCCTGCTCCCTCACTTTCAGATAGTTGCTCATAATATATAGCTGATGGATATGTATCATCTCCCTCTATCGCCTTTGTGCTGAGAGGGATGTCTTCTTTTGATTCTTGCAGATCAATCTGTAACTAAAAGGAGCTACTGACTTGCCTGATAGCATGATGGGTGTCTCTATTATAAGCAACCGCTTCTGTTAGAGTGGGGGTGGGTGGGTGGATGTGCTTGTGCAGGGATCTCGAGATTCTGGGGTGCTCCCACAGTATATAAAGTACAGCACTTGGCAAAGTACAACAGCTGCTGAGCTGTTGCTGAGCTGCTCCTTGTTATCAAATGGATTAGAAAGGAGGTATCAAAGCTTACAGAGGAGTGTGATCAACTTGGGATCTCACCTTCTTGAGCAAACAGGTATTTGCACCGAGCAGAAATTTGGCTCTAACCACATTATCAGGAATTTACAACACCCCTCTCTAAGCTTTGACTTATTCCAGTGCTAGTTCATCTCTCAAAGTTGCATTAGCTTTCATAGCTATACATTCTCTTGTGAGCTTAGCTGCTACTCACCATATAGACATTTAGACCAAAACAGAGAGCTGTTCACAGTTTTGCACAACTCTAAACTATAGGCATAGAACATTATTACCTCTTTTAAAGTCAAGCAGGAACCAGCGATAGCAGAAGTAAAAGTGAGTGTAATCTCCGTTCTGGTGCATCAATTCAAAAAGCTCTGAGTCTAGAATCTAAAACACAAAACATCCGCTGTCAGTATCTTGTCTGAAAGTAGCCAAGATCAAAGGTGTTGGAGTCTGGTTAAGACTTCCATGCTGCTCTAATCACCTGATGCTGTGGTTAGTGAGAGCAGCTGCTTAGCACAGATACATCCTTTTACTATGTCTTTACAAAATGCCTGTGATGTGGGTGCCCTGACACAGACTGATGAGGTGAAGAGTTACATTACTGCTGTGCAGGTATGAGGTGACAACAGTCAATCTTCACTGTGATTTTAAAGGTCCAAGCACCAAGTTACAGATCCTACTGATTCTCAACAAGTGGCAAATTTTCATCTTCCCACCCAACTCTATTCTCAGCTTGTAATGTAGGAGCTGGTGTGCAAAGACTGAAATCCATTCACCTGGGGAAAAGAAGGGAAGGAGACTTTTTCATTCCAAGTTGGTAATTCTGATGAGCAGTGGCACAGTTCCACACTGCAACATCCAAGATCTCTGGAACTGAACAACTACTTGCCAAATATCTGGTAGATGTCTTAAATCTGTAAGTACATCTATAGTCATTCCTCATAGATGTCATCCTAAGGGCTGCTGGATAAGAAGGGTGGCATCCTCTGACAGTCTTGCTACTCAACAGAAACTGCAGCTGTACGTTCATGTGCTGCCTGCATTTGCCGTGCTGGCCATCTTCTTTGTTGACTGACCTCTATTTTCATTACTTTTTTAATATGCCACCTATCAAACTAAATAATGGCTTATCATGATAGTTTTCACCCTTCTTTATGCTGTCTTGCTCAGGTGCCTGGTGCTTTTCGGAGTGGAATGTCTAGGCCTTAAATCTGTCCAAAAAACCCCCATTCAGCAAGCATCCTGTGTGAATACAAATATAGCTATGGTCTACTTACAGGTTTAAGAAATTTGTGCCACAAATATGCATGTTTTCTCTTCCAAAAAGCCGTGAAGACTGGATGTTACTGCTATTTCTCATTGACTTCAGTTGGAGCTGGACTGAGCCATAAATAGGAGTCATTACATTGTGTAGCTGGTGTACTGGAGGCAGATGTTTGGGGGGGTTTGTTTTGTTTGTCAAGATGAATTGACCTGCTCTAATACACACGCTTCAATGTGACAGCAAATACTGTCCCCTGAGAAGCATGAAATCAGTTTGGGCCTGTATAAAACAATTCTTACCCTACCCAGCTCTGAAGTACCAGATGACTAGGAACCTAGTATTGGAGTTCCTGCCCTTCACTGTGGTATCAAGCTAGTTCTGAGCCTCTGCCAGAACCTCATCTTCTTTCAAATAAGATTAAAAAAGACTCACTTGGATTAGGGACCGCATGTTGGCAAAGTGTGTGTCCATAGCACCTCCATTGGGGAAGTTCTGGCTCATCCTCTTCATCAGGTGGCTGAAGCAGCTGTAAGCCAGTTGATCTGCAGATACAATGCAGAACACTTGGTGTTGTTAATTGTGTGACTTCCTTGAACCAAAATAATGAACTGCAGGGCAAGCAAAAAACAGGGTTTTCCCCTTTGATGTTCCCTAATCCCATCACCAGTATTTAGATGAAACAGAAGACAGCACCTGACCCTGGACCATTTTTACTAGTTATGTTTCAAAAGAACCCAGCTTGCAGTTGACTCTTCAGCTTCAGCAACTGCTGGAACACAGTTGCTGTGAAAATTTAATAAAATTTAATCTGGAAGTCAGTGAGTGAAGAGGGAATCCCCAAGATACTAATGTTAGCCATTTCAACAACAGTCACACTTAGAGAAAAATATGAATCAAGGGCTGCAGGTCTGATTTGCCTGGTGAGCTAGCTCTGGTTAACACATACAACTTCTTCTGAAATAGCATTTCTAGAGAAAGACCTCCCTAAAGATACCAACATGTTCCAAAAGAAAACTCTTCCTACCATTGTCAAGTATAACCATCAAAGGAGCCAGGAGGTCACACATGCCTTGAACATAACCAACGTCTAGGTGCTCCCAAACATAACTGCAGAAAGAAGAAAACACAAGAGATAATAGGATTAAAAATCCTCTTGCTGCATGGTAGCCTCAAAAATTTGTCTTACACCTAAAATACAACTCCTTTTGGAAGCTTTTAAGTGTCTTGTTCTAGAGTGCTGTAAAGATAAAGCTAGAAGTCCAGAGAACTACAACAATTCAAATCTTCCAACACAGTGGTATAAAATGATGAGTATTCTGCTAGTTTTTTTTCCAGAAAAAAATCCTAAAAGCTTTATAAACAACCCACAATGAGGACAGACTGGCATGTGAGACTGGAATATCTCTTGTACAGTGACTCTTGCTGTAGGCTCTTAATGTCTTGTGAAAGGGTAAAAGAATGTGATCGTCTACTTACAGGATGAATTAATATTGAATTTTTCTCTACCTGTTCCTCAAAAGCTAAATACTGTATTGAAGTCTAATTTGATTACACAAGATCAAATCTTAAGTAGCTGTTGTGTGTGTGTGTCTCAGAACTTTTTGACACTTCACATTCCAGAGTGTTTCACAGCCCTGTATTGTTTTCTGCTTGGCTATAGAGTACCAAACCTTACACACATGGCTTGCATATCAATAGTTTGTGAAAAAACAGCTAACAAAAGCATAACAGTTTATGGGAAAAAAGCCCAGATTTTTAAAAGGTACCTAGAATTTTTTAGCTTTTGGGTTTTTTTGCCCCACCTAGGTGGAAACTTGTTATCTTCTCTGAGTGTTAAAGTCTATGACACTTTCTGCTTTAACTATCTTTAGTTGAATAGCCTTCATGGCAATTTGCATTCCTAAAAGTGAAAACTAGCTTTCTATTGATTCTAGCTGGTCTCAGTGGTTAAAGATGCTGGTTTGATTTGAAGATGTAGACTTTCTGTCTACTTCGTAGATGTCCCTCAACACTGTATCTGGGCACCACTATTATTGTCATCTTTATAACACACCATTAGAGCATGGATCTATTATCCTGATAAGTAGGAAACCAAAGCAAATAGTACATTTAGAGAATAGTTCAAGGTGACTGATAAGGTCTGTCTCCTGAGGTAGAAAGAGAATCTTCTCAAACCTGCATTCCAAACTGCCGATCATACCCATGCTCTCTAACCTACCATCTTACCTGTTCCTCCTTCTTGCAAGTTTAAGTTAATTATTGAGAATTTTTATACAGACTATTATTTTCATGTTATTACAGTTTATGGATTATGACAGAAATGTGAAAAGCAGTTTGGTTTACAAGCTGTATTACCTGCACATGACATTTCGGAGTTTCTCCAGGTTATCGGCAGTAAAATACCAGTAATTCCGATCGCATCTCTGGACATCTTTATCAATTCTGTGCAAATTTAAGGCAACAGTGTCCAATAACTCTATCTAGAAGAGAAAAGTTTTACTTAGATCTGCTGAGTTTAGAGCATTCCCAGGACTTTGTGCAGATTCGCTCTGAGAATCAACAAACCAGAAATAGTACAATTATACTTTGGGCATAGGAGAGCATCAAAATACTCAATTACTGTCCAAAATCCCAGGTGAAATGCATACACTTTCACTGGTAAATGTTCCAAGCCTGTCCTGTTTCCAAATGGTTATTTCCAGTTGAACAACTTCAGCAGAGAGAGAGGCAAAAACTCAACTACTAATCTGTTGACAGCAACACTAATAGAGGTGGTGGAGTCTTGAATCCAGATTTAGGTTATGGTTCAATTTGATTAAATGTGGGGTTTAGCTTGAATTAAATGATACTGAAATCTTTCAAGTGGTGTGCTGTCCACAGCCTCTGGCAATTTTTAGCTGCTCAGCTGTACATTCTTTTCCTTGCCCTCCCATTCAATAAAAGACCCAATTTTTTCTTGCTGTCTTATTTCCAATCTAGCTCAAAATCCAGATGAAAAGATTTGGATGCAAAAATCCTCGGTTATCATCCCACCACCTGTAGTTCTAGTTTGGAATTGTCTCTGATTAAATCCTATCTGAAAAAGTACAAGGCTTTGCTAGAAAAGCAATGCTGTGCAGAGAGATGATGATACTTATGTTGTGACCTACTGTGTAGGATGCGGCGCAGACAGAAGCAACATCCATTAAATAATCCACCTGGGAACACAGCTGCTCTTCTGATACAGAATCCTGAGACTGCAGTACAACCGACTTGGCTTTCTGTATACGCGATATGTCTGAATCAGTCCTTTCCAAGTCAGTGCTAGCTTCTTCTTCAGCCCCATCTTCAAAGGAGACACTCTGCCCGTCATCGATACTGGACAGGATGCCTGAGGCCACGGAGTAGTTCCTCGAGGATGGCAGCCCAGAGTCAGGGGAGTCAAACTCCACAGACTGTTGCTCTACGGCAGCTACTGCTGCTGGCGTGTCGGCAGACAGCATGGTGAAAGTGGGGTCGTCCTGACCTTTTGAGTCCCGCTCTGCTGAGTCCGTTTCATCTACAGATATAAAGACCTGGGGGTGGGCAGAGGAGAGAAGATTTGGATAAAGCAGGGGAGAATAGAGAAGCAAGAATCATTAATGTGGCATACGAACCTCCAGCCACAAGAGAGAAATGACTACATCATTTCAGTGGACAAGATCACCGATTAATAGATCTTCCCTGTATGCAAACAGTTGAGAGCTCCTCACTCAGTCTTTACATTGAGACTGTAAGTCTAAAAATAATACCGACTAATGATCTCATATCCATCTCCTATGATGATGTCTCCCCCCTTCATAATCTTCAGTTAGAAACACCTTGGAAAGCAGTGAAGCTTCCCTACCGGCAACACCAACACTAAAACCATCTGGTCATTGCAATGTATCTTTGAAGAAGACCGAGATACCTCAGGCCTCCAACAATCCAGTTCAGCAACTGCTGTTTGAAGTCAAGAGTGGCCTTCAAATTCTTTCCACCATGCAACCATTTTACCTCTTCTCTTGCTAAAAAACTCATTGTTGAACTGTTAAGTTCTGTTGCCTTACTGAAACCAGTTAGCTAACTGTTTGAAATCTGCATAAGTAATGGGATGCCCAGAGACACTTTTGGCACACACTTGCCAGCTCTCCTGTCCAACAATGTGAAAAGAAACCCCTTTCTTTGTTATTCAAGTTACTGAGAGGTTAATTCAGTCTGCCTTTCTACTACTTAGCATCTCACCTTAGACTGACAAAGGTCCCCTCTCCCCCCAAAAAATCATGCTCAACCTGTCAATCAGGGACATGACAGAATCAAAAATATGCTTTAATAGTAGTAATCTTTTGCTCTATGCTGGATAGAAAGCTATTCCTCTACTGAGAGAAGGATCTTCTATAGTAGGTGAACCCTTAAAGCCCCTTAGGCAGGTCCTGCTTAAGAACAGCTGTAGACTACCCAAAATACAGACCTGCTTTTAGCTCTATTATGGAGGCACTACAGCTTCAAATTCTGTACAGGATTCAAGTAGCTCCAGACTGGTGGAGCTGTGCTAACCTAAGTCTCTGCTTCCCTGGGCTGTACCTCTGCAAATGCCAAGCCTCCCGTGCTGCCTGCACCATATGGATGAATGGGAAGGGAGTACCTACATCGTTGCTGATGGTGGAGTCCCTGTGAATCAGTCGCTGGACATGGCTGTCAATGCTGCTGCCTGATGAAAACTTGGCCAGCGTAGCAGAATGTGATTCTTTCTCTCGCTGCCTTACAATGACCTCACAGGCTTTCCACTCAGCCATGACCTTCTGATACTGGAGAGCAATGTCTTCATCCACCTGCAGACAGACAGACAGATCCTGAAACGCTGGTGCTCCTTGAAAGATAGCATTAGCAATGAGTGGAAGCCAGGAGGAAGAGGTCTAAAGCAAGTGTAATGTTTCAAACCAAAAGCCTGTAGGATCCTGAAGCCCTCGTGCTAGAGCACACATCACTCTGACTGCAAAGCGCAATGACTGGAGCAGCAAGACGTTGCGTTTTTACTGCAGGGAATAAACTATCACTATAGATGCCATAAAAGATTCATATAAGCATGTGTATACACTCTCAACAGTGCTTTTGACATTATTCAGGAAAGAACAAAAGATGTCACTGGCTTACACGTGAAACGTCACATAGAAGTCAGATGCAATCGGATGGAGCAATTGCTGCTTCTAACCAGATTATTACTAATTTCATTACACTGCCTTCCCAACTCCTTCTCTATTCCAACTCTAACATAGCCCTTGCAATGAATTCCCAGTTGCAGGTTCACAGACGTCAGCCTGTACAGAGCTAGATGCTGGAAGAGACTCCTGAACAGTAGAAATCCCAGCTCACACAGCCCAGTCTTGTGGCTCTACTGTGCATGGCCAGATCCAACCACTGGTTTTCATAGTAATAAAACAGATTTTTTGCCACTGCTGGCTTCCTCTGTTGAAAGAGAGACACAGAAACCCACCTTGAGCTATTAAGGGACACGTAGTAATTTTACTACTCTGTCACTTGTCAAGAGCTGAAGAGAAATCACAATTGTGAGTTGGCTTCAGGCTCCGGACTCTGCTGGCTGGAGTTGCTACCAGAGCATTCATGCTAAGAGCTGCAGGCTATTTGTCACTTGAGGTAGCTGTCGAGTCATAAATCATAAAATACAACAGTTAGTGGAAGGCTGGAGGACAGCCACGTTTGGGAGTGCCCCAGATACTGATGGATGACTGCAAAAATATCATCAGAAGGCAAAGATGATAAATCACCCGTGATGACTTCAGTTAAGGACACGGTAAGTTTCCTATACATGCAAATGTTATGACTGTTTTCAGGTCATTCATTTAATAGACTCTTACATTCAATGGTAAGCTTTAGACTCAACAGCACATTGCTTTGAGGTGTCGGTTATTACTGTTATTTACTACTGGTGTTGAGTAGCTTATTAGAATTCCAGATAAGGTTTGGAGCACCTCTGTGTTAGTATGGTACAAACTCAGGGAAAAAAATTTCCTATAGGAGCTTGCATTCTGCAGATCAGATATTTTATACCTTGCAACATTTATTTATGAATTTACTGTAATTTCTATTACACAAATGGACTCAAATATTTATCTCTTCTTGGCAAATCTCTTATGTTCTAGCTGTATACATGCACATGCCCTTTGAAGCTAGGGCTAGAATCCACAAACTGTGGCTCAAGATCTCCCACTCTAAGTATCTGGGTCCTTTTTTCAGTTCCAGACATACCTTCTATTTTTACACATAGATCATAAATCTGATGGTTCGTATACCTGTGGAGAACAGACAGCAAAATGCAATCTATGCAAGAAACCCCCAATATCCTATATTTCTTGAAAATTTAAGTTTAAAAAAAAAAAACATGGAACACCAAATGCAAATGTAATAAATTCACACTGCATCTGAAGTGCTGCAATTTAGCCAGATCACTGCTGCTGAAGCTCTGCACCAAATTCAAAGCATTTAGAAGGGCCCTCCCTTTTTCATCAAGACAGTAAGACTTAAGAAACCAGTCCACGTGGTGCTCTAGGAGAACTTCTTTATTAAACTTGTGCTGTATGCAAAAAAGGGGTGATTGAACAAGTCCCCTTGTAGAACAGACATACTTGCCAGCAGGACTATGGCAATGTATCAGACTGGCTACCTGGATTTGCTTCTCTTCTGAGGCAGTTTGCCTGGCCTTCAGGACATAAGGCAACCAGCAGGACTTACTGCCCTCAGTCGTTTCTAAGGTACTTTGTCTTCTTATGATGCTGATGTCATGGGAGGGCAGGAACTTGCCTCAGTAGTGCTCAGCGGAACATGCTTGATATACACACTATAGCCGGAAAATCTAAATATAAATACCTACAAAGATGCCTGGATTCAGGGTGAAGAATCTGGATTGTGGCCCTGTTTTGAACAGTTAAGGGGTATATTTCTCCATCTGTGTTCAGAACTGGTTTATAAAGATAAGTGTGAGGAAAAACAAGTCAAATTGCTGTAGCAATTTTTAGTAAGAAGAATGCTGCTTATAAAGTGCCCACTGTTTGCAAGATAGCTAATTTTTCTATTGCAAGGCTCTAGGTCAGGCTGCCCTTCTGATCTGCAGGTGCTCACAGGGATATAAAATATCCCCTGGAATATAAAATAATTGGGAGTTAGCAAATGCCAAATGTTTTGATATATAAACCACTCCTTATCCATTTAATCCAGAACAGAATCAGCTGCTGCAAGAGTTCTACCTCCCTGGTAACAACACTAACAGAAAAGCAGATTAATGTGTTAATTATACTCCAGGGCAAACCTCATTACTGTTCTAGACAGTTCAGCAAACATTTGGGTGATTCTTAATGTCAGTTAAAAGCAATGTTTTACCAACACACTAATCCAGACCTTACCCACAGGGCACTGTCCTACTGAAGTCCTATGGCTCTGCAAAGGAGAACATCCCTTTCCTCAAACGTCAAGGAGTAAGATGAGTGGCAGCGTTGGCATTTGTAATGGCAGAGTGGTGCTCCCACTATGTATGAGCCCAAGGACGGCAGGAGACCTTTACAATGGTGGCACTACCCCATCTGCTCATCGTAGTAGGCCTACACTTAAGTTCTTGATCCAAATGTGAATCAGCTCTACAGCTGCATTATGGTATGAACCTGGGCCTATTATGCATTGCCTGAGGGTAATAGATTAGCTTTGGCTCCATACTGTAATAAAAATGCCACACAGCATTCATAACAGCAACTACACTGGATCAGATAAAGGCTGGTGTAGCCTAGCAGTCGCTTATGGGAAGCATGTAGGAGTAAGGCACTGGAGTAGTGCTGTACTTTTCTCAGCACTCTAGCTTAGGACCACATCCAGTCTCTGTTCAGTAAGTGTAGCTGAGTGAAGGCATGACTGTCTGTCATTTTGCCCAGCTCTATCTGTTTGTTACCAGCCTGGTTTATTATCAAGGCACTTGCCTAGGAATTACAACAAATGAAAGCACTCGGCAAAGTAAAAAGTCGGTATTGCTATGAACAGATTAGCAAAGAGAGATAGTATAACTAAGAGATGGGCAAATTGTGGTTTCATTAATGGAAACTATATACTTAATGCCAAGTTTCATACTGTGAAATAAGGCTGTGACATAACCTAGGCAATTATTCACTGATCAATATTAGCAGCAGCATAGGAGATATTAAGAGGAGTAATGTCTCATCTGAAATTGCACCTTACATTTTACAGAGGCACTTCTTATTTCAGTCTAGCAAGAGCATAATGAACTTACAAACCAAACCTTCCTCTGGGTATTTTTAGCCTCTAGACAGTAACACCAAGTGCACTTTAGAAAGTACATCTGGGCTATTCACAGCTCCAGTAGAAGTCCACATATGCAGATGCAGTATCATATAGATAAGGTTGTTATTTCAAAGAGCATTTTTAAGTATAACTCAACTAACACACCATATAAAAGAGGGATGACTCAAATTACTATCCAAATGTCAATGTCTCCCCATTTTATAAGTGGCAAATTTGTGAAAACAGGATTTGCTCAGGGCAAGTGCATGTCACAGGCAGAGGCTGAATGCAGGTTTCCTGACTTCAATAAAAAACTCCCTTTTAATGATTTTCAGGCATGATAACATGATATCATAATCCCTCTACTAACATGCATCACTCATGTTTCAGTAGCATTTTCCCCTTAGGAATATTAAACAATAATAAAGACTAACACTTGCTATTAAGAAAACAAAACCAATTCTGCAAATGTAATTCAAATCCCCGGAAAGCTGTGCTTACCTGGTCCATTTCCTTTTTGGCCATGCCAAATTTATAGTGACCTAACAAGAATGGCCATACTTCCTTTCGAATCTCATGCTGTACCCCGCCGTAGTAAACTCTTCTAAGTAATTCCAGTTCCTTGTAATTCTACAGTAGTCAGGAGAAAGAGGTATTCAAGGTAATTACATCTTTATTTTCCTTAGGCATGCTCGTATACACTTAATACCAAGTATAAAGACAGTGAAATGCATGCACAGCACTAAATAAATTTTGCAACTTGATCCAGGCCTTTAGGGCCTTAGCTCAAATCCAGTCTAATATAGGCTGTCATGCCTCCCATTAAAATAATCTAACTTTTAATAGACTAGAGTCATCATGAGATCAGTTGCTTTGATGTTAACTGATATCTTTGCTATCATTAGAGAAACAAAGGACAAAAGAGATTGTAAGAATCGACTCACTCGCTAGAAAGAGAAGTGATCCTGTGAAGACTAGAAAATGCTTTTAATACTTCCTGGGGTCCATTCTAAGGGATACCGTGCTCAACGCAGCAGTGTGTGGGAGCTAGCGTAATGAATAAATGTTACTTACCTTCTTGTCCTTCTGATACTTGCTCCAGACCTCTTTAGTCAGGCCGCCTGCAGCACTGGATGGTTTGTCAGGTGGGATAATAGTGTGGTTCACAAGGGCAGACAGATGCGTTCGCACTGTTGACAAATGGCGGCAGTAGGCAAGCCCTGTGGTTGGGGCAGGAGATAAACTTTTATAAATGAGCATCTACCTAATATCAGCAGCCCCTTTTTGAAGATGAAGCCGTGTGACATTTTAAACCTGCCACTAATAATCCTATATGAACTAAACTTGCATTGTACTGTATAAGAATGAAGAATTGCAACAGAGCCAAAGATTAACTAAATCTTACACAGACTAGTAAAATCCAAGTAGAGTATTACACTGCAAAGTAAAACTACATTCTGTCTTCACTAAGCATCAGTTCACCCATTGCTATATGCAAAACCCACAAATAATGGAATTATGAAGCTATGACACTTGAGTCACGTCCACCCTACTGCCGTGAGGTGATCTGACTCACAACCATAACTTTGCGTTTGGACTGCTTTCTAAAACAAACATCACATGTTTTTTAGATAAGCATATGGATACCACAAGGGCTGGATATAAGAAGCTTCACTTACATCCATAAAAGGCTCTGGAAACTATTTGCCTCTTCATGCTTTCACACAACATCTTTAATGGAGTTCTGTGGAGACACATTAACAGGAATGTGATAGGTCACGAGGACAGAGATCATCATGAATTTTATGCTGATCCCTATGACCTAACACATAGCGATTCTTTTTCTGCACCAAGATTTATTTAGCTAAAGGACAACAATAGTGACAAATTGCATTTTTTTAAAGCATTTCCCCCACCAGCATTTTGGCCCAAAACAGATTCACCTGGCACATTTAGCTACAACTGCTGCAGATGCATTATAAAGGTCCTTGTCAAATTAGATAAATTGTTGCCCTTCATTGTAATTGTTAATTACTTGTTGAAGAAATGCTTCCAGAGCTGATTTATATTAAACTAGACAAAAGAATTAGATGCAATATTTTATGAAAATGTGACTTGAGAGTAGTTTAATAGGTTAGTTTCAATAAACTAAATTTCTTGCTACATAACTCCATTTTTTCATGTTGGAAACTACTTGAAAATTGTCACACTCGTTCTCTGGTGCTGCAAACAATAAAACCTCCTTGCTTTTAAGTGTGGCATGCACAGTCTCGCAGGTAAGCTCTCTGCACAACTTGCTTACCTATCATGGATGCAGTTGCAACAGCTGGGTATATCATAGGGAGAGCTGCCTGTTGAACAGGAGACACACGAGGAGCCTTGGCTGCAGTGCTCCAGCTGCCATGAAAGCAAGTTTGCCCCAAAGCCTTGCATCTCTATCATTTCGCTGGTGTCTAGGAAAAAAACCCAAACAGAACAGCAGGCCATCAACCTTTTTTCTTCTTTTCTTCTCTTTCTTCTGTGCATCCTGATGGCTTCATGCTTTACTTTTCAGCAGGCTCTGAATCTTGATTCCAAAAAGGGGAGAGCACCGTCCTAGTGACCTCAGAAATACTGCTCTTGGCACATCTAAATCAGCTGCATGCTGTGCACGGTCACTTCCCATAAAGTCAAATCCCCTCACCATCTCCCCCTTTCTTGCCTATGCACATCCCAGTTTGTGTTTCAAAGAGAATAGAGAAAAGGGTGCTGCAGTAACAACTAAAACCGGTTCTTGTGTAATGCTATGGTAATGTTATTTATGGCCAGAATAGGTAATCTAACCTGACCTTCTATTTAATTCTGGTCTCAGAATTTCATTTTGCAGTTCCTGGAATCAGCCATGTAACTGCTAGTCCAGTTAAAGTGAAAGTTTGAGCATAAAAGAAATTAAGACAAACTGATTCAGTTATTTTCTTTCAGAAGATGCTTCTTTACCCCTCAGAACCAGATCCTAAAATATTTAGCACAGAAGGATAGTTCAGGTCCTACTGATGTCAACACTATGTTTATCAAAGTAGGGTGTTCTGCAGGAAAATGTGATCCAACAGTACAGTGCAGCTTCTTGAGTTATCCCTGCTCCACCAATTCTATTTGTCTTTTTAACTCGCTTCAGGAAGGCGACCCCCCAAAAATCACCAGTTGCCTTCAGAAAGCTTGGCTTCAGCTCTTCAACTTTCCCAGCTGGCATTTGAGCTTGTGGGTTTTTTGTTTTATAATAAATAACTGGCCTTTCAGCTCACCCGTGATTAAAATTAAGGCAAATGCCATAATACTGTATGTCACTAAATTAACATTTGTAAGCAAAATCTAGTCCCCTGGGCTGTGCTTTTAAAACATACATTTGTTGGGTGGTGGTAGGGGCAATTCCAAACCATCTCATGCATTTTAAATCAAGGTAGCATAAAGCATTTTAGTAGTGCCTATTAGAAAGTGGGCATAGGTGAGGAAGGAGTGGAGTAAAAACATTTGTTAACAGAAAAAGCACAGGCTCATGCGGAAGCAGTCACGTGTATTTCATTTCACAAAACAAAGTGTGATGCAAAAATGCTCTTCACCTTAATTCTTCAGGAAGGAGCTGAATGACCCAGTATTTATTGCAGCTTCTTATTGGGTTCAAATAAAAACCATTGGACAAACTTTTTTAGATCATTATTTTTTGCCTCCCCTCTACAGACAAGAAAAGTGGGTTTTTCAGTTTTGATTTCTTACTTTATTTTTTAGAGAAACAAGGAAAGAACCCCACAGAACCTAAAGATTCAGATGAAAGGTACCTGAATTAGTGAAGAATTAGAGTGAACAGCATCTTTTCTTTAATTGTAGTGGTGTTATCTGTAACTTCAGCTACATGCAAAAGTCGAGCATGTTGCAAAATGTAGAAGCAAATGGCTAGCAAACCTGCTACATCAGTGTTGTCATTATTTAAAAGGGATGCTGCTGGAGAGACAACAGCTAATCCAATCTAGTTCAGCAAGAATCACTACTCAAACAGCAGACATAGTCCTAACTCTACCACTACCTTCAAAATTAAATAAGCAAAATCAGATACCTGACAGCTGTTCTAGTGGATAACTTCAAATTCCCATCACCTGACTAAAGACTAAATTGTGTTTCTTATGCTTTAGATCACAGTGTTAGCCTCTTAACATGTGTATGTGGCAGTGTTAGACCTTCCTCCTTTCCATTATCACCCATATCCAGACATGATCAGTTAAGACACACACAAACTCCCTGAAACGGTATCTTTTTTCAAGGGTAACGCTGTATTTTTGGACTTTCTTTCCATCCATACCTTTCAAGAACTCTTTATTCTGGGCTTTATCCATTTCTAGGGGCTACTACCTTGGGATAAATGTGTAGGCAGCCTACAAGAAATGAGGAGGATCTCCTTGAACACATTTTCATATCCTATCTAAACAGAACTTAAGCACTGTACAGAGATGCAGGGCAATTATTGTCTCCTACAGTCAGTCCCACCAGACCAGGGCTAACATCCATTTGGAACCAAAATTCATCGCTCTGCTATTTAAAGGTATGAGTGTCTTATCTGGAGTCAAAATACGTTGTGTTTTTCTTAGGAAATAGAAATACCAGAAAAAGCATGTTCATTCTAACATAATGAATGAAAAATACAGACAAGAGCCAAACTTGCAAGCAGTTGCTCTCCTTCCTACTTCCTCTGCAGATGTCAAACTTTTGACAGCTACTTTACAGCCTGATAACAGAGAAGATTCTGTTCTTGCTGATACACTCCATTTATTAGGAAGAGGCGGAGGCTCTTGTTTTGATTATATCAGGAGTGTGCCAGGTTTGGCACATGCACTCAAGAGGTATCAAGGCCAAAAGTCTGGTGGTACTGAAGCTGTGCAGAACTGGTAAGCCTAGAGGGGGGAGAGATTTCACATGAACTAGTGGAGAGGCCTCGACAACACCTGCCTGTCTCTGAACAGCTGCAAGCCTTAGAATCCAAGCTGTGGAGGAGGGGTTTGGCCTGGGGAATGGATTATTTTATACACCATTCAGCTTCCTCCTTTGAGGAAGTGAGGACTTCTTAGCCTCCAGAACTACACTACTAGATCCTGAATGCATGTAATACATACACCTACTGGAGAATACCAACTTAATACATATGTTATGAATTGCTTTAGGAAAAGAATTAGATGACAAATTTTTGGAAAGTGGAGTCTTGCAGCTGATAATCTGAAACCCACCTAGCCTATGAATGCAAGAAGTGGAATGAAAGCACCTGAGCACAGAAAGGTATTGCATCTCCATAGTATCTTCTCTGCACACCTCTGCTACCTTATAGAGGTATCCAAAGCATGGAAGCATGCATACTTGCACCATCCCTGGGCTCAAATTGTAACTCACTACACTTCTGCCCTATTCTGTCTACACAGGCACACTCTATTTCTGACTTTGCCCGGCACATCACTACTATTGCTGTAATGGTTTACCTCTGACGCTTCCTATGCAAGGCTGCCCTCCCTGGTCTGTTACGCTGTACACGACTAACTCACAGAAGAATAATACAAAGACCTGTTACACTCCCTCCTCTTGTGAGAACATGTTCTAGTATCCAGCTTTTATGAAGGTGGGGCAGGAAGGCTCTGGAAGGAGAGAAGGTTTGTCTGTTCAGCAGCACACACGGTCAAAGGAGAGGGAAGATGCTGTTGTTTCCACTTTCCATAGGTTGTGAGCATATTCCCAGTCTCTCCACACAGTCAACTTAATCTCCAGATCTCATGGCGTGAGTGAAATGTTTTTCCCTGTAATAATGCCAACACTGTTGTATGCATCAGTGGAACGAGCTGCAATAGAGCTCTGGGACACAGGGGGAGGAGGATAAAAACCTTTCATCCTATTAGGAGCTGTGAGGTTCCGAGAGCAGATCATTGATAGCATTGCGTGTAGCTTATCTTCCTCCTCCTCATCATCGTCAACAGAGGTAGAGCGGCTGGCAGCTAAGTGGTGGTAGTTAATAGTTACTGCTCAAAGAAAATAGTGAAAGAGGAGCATAAGAAGAGAGAACTCGATTCTGCGGGAAAACTCAAAAGGACATGTTCAGCAAAGACAAAGGACTTGAACCCTGCCCTCCTCTTGAAGGCACAAGCTCCTGTAAATGGGTATGAAAAATGATTTTCTTACAGAAAAAAAAAGTATGCTCCACCAAACACAGGCCAGCTTTTCATTGTGCACAGGCTGTATTCCCAGAGCACATCATGTGTCACATCATGGCAATAGAGAAAGGTCCCAATGCCAGCCTGCAGTAGGTGAGTATGCTTTTTAGCAAAACTCCATGGGAACTCTAGGCTCCGACTAGCTTTTCTCCTTCACCATGCCCTTATCAATGCTGTGGCCTCTTTTCCACTCTGAAACGTGTGCCAGATATATCTGGACAGCAAACATTCTGCTCCCCAGCATCGTCTGGCACTGCAAACATGCAAGGTACAGGCCTCCTCCTAAGGAAGCCCAAGGCAGGAGCCAGCTCTTGCACTCAACAGGCAGGTCTGTGCTGGATGTGCCCACAGAATCTGCAGTCCCCTTGATTCAGGCAAAGGCAGAACATGCTTTTGCTGGTGTGTGCATGAACTTACCTGTGCAAATCCAGAAGCCCTAATAAAGCACGGCCACCATTGTGGTTCAGTCCCCTGGGGTAAGGAGAGTTCAGCTGAGATTTCTGCTTTTTCAGCTGCAGTAAGACCCAACATGAGCAGTAAATCCAAATCCCCTGTAAACTTTAGGGTCTGATCTTCCTGGGAAATTCTTGCTTCTTTGCCAAGGGGAATAAAACTGAACATGCTGTTTGAGAACTAGCTCAAATGCCTTCTTGCATGTAAGGAATTTGTATTCACTGATGACATGAGGTGGTTTGGTGCTTGGGAGTTCATTTAGTTTCCTTGGAAGGGCCTTTATTTATCCATTGTTCAGTTCTTGCTTCCAAGCCAGGAAAACTTAGCCCAGGGAGTTCTTGGGGTACTTTAAGAGTTGAGTTTATGGTTGTTTTTTTTTCTTCTAATAACAACATTATGAGCAAGCAGTGTGGCCAATAAAAATATCCTCACTTCAGGAGCAAAACTGCTCTTTGCTAGTCAAGCAATCTTTGGTTTTAGTCTCAGTTTGCAAGCCCAGGGGAGTATTTTGAAAACTTCCTCTGCAAAACACAGAGTAAATGTAAACAAGATTCCCCACCTCAACTCCACTTCCACTAAGATAACAAGCTTCACTGCATTAAGGAAACCTACAGTAAGCTGTACCTGTTGATCACAATTATCACACAATGAAATTTTGTGATAGGTTTTCTTCTCCCCCCCCAAAAACCTGGCTTGTCCGTTACCTTCAGTTACTTCCCAGGATATTACTTCAAGGTTTTCTTAGGGCTTTGTTTTGGTTTTTTGTTTGTTTGTTGTTGTTGTTGCTTTTTTTTTTTTTTAACAAAGCAGAACAAAGGCACTTACTGTTATCATGCTTGTGTCCTGGATAGATAATTCTGAACACATAGTCTGTAGAAGTATCTTCAGCTGGCATTTCCTCTAGGTCCACCGATTTGTTGCTGTTCCGTTTTCGAAGCTTTGGAAATACCTTACCCTAGAGAAAATAATGATTCCATACATTCAGCTACAAATGACTAACAGAGCACAACAAACTAAGTACTTCAGACCTTTGGCATCTTAAATCTTAAAACTAAACTTTCAGTGCTGGGAGGAGGTGAGGCAGAAAACAACAGTAGAATCATATACAGCAGGTAGTTTAGGGGTACTTAACACAACTCTTCTGTGTGCTTAGAACACAGCTTTTTCTTGTAATCCATGGGAGTTGGGCACCAGCTTCTTCAATAATGCAAGCCTCTGAGAGCAAGTATGTCCCAGTCCATTTGAGCCTTGGTCCCTATCGTTTGGGTTCATATTTTGATAGAACAGCAGATTCCAGTTCATTGCTCAATGGGGTAATGAAGGTATGAACAATTTCTATAGACTATCTGTATAAGAATCAGATTGGACTAAATGGAGTTATTTTACCTCCCACTTTACTAGAAAGCAGCTGGTAATCAATGCCCAGGCTCTGTGGAGCAGGATGCTGGTTGAACAAAGACATTAAGATCAGCCCTACCTACTACAAGCAGCTCATCCAAAAAGGCAGTACCTTGCCCTGTTGGGACCAAAGTGGTGGTTCCAGCTGACCACGAGGCAGAAGACCATTTTCCAGACAGGAGAGAAATGCGAGGAGGTGACCTCCTTGGGGGAAGTGCAGCGGAGGTCTCTGAGTTCCATCCTGACTCACCAAGACTAATGTCCATCTGCTTTCTGCTGCAAAGGAGGACAAGGGAAGTCCACGCTGTTACATCAGAACCTCTACTTTATGCTCTTACCTTCTAAGTAAATTTTATTTGTGATCATCTCTAAGTAGATAAACAAACCTCTGTAAATCACAGTGCGATCTAAGGATGATCTCAGTCCTTAAGTCCTAAAGAAGCTCAAGATACAAGCAAACTATGACAGGCCTCATGCAGAAACATTTAAAGTGATTCTGAACACTAATATAATAAAGGAATAACTAAACTAAGTCTCTGGTGTATGACATAACTTGACAAAGGACACACAATTTAGAATGAAAACTAACCTAATGCATATAACCAGAGGCTGTCAGCTTTATTCTTGTGAGAATTAGCAAGTCACATTCTCTGTTGTAAATTTTTCTCACCTATCTTCACTGTCACTAGAAATTTAGCACAAATAAGAAAAACCACCCTGGGCTCTGAATACCGTTTTAAGCATAATGATCTGCATCTTGTACAATTTTCAAAAGAATTAAGTGAATTAGGTTCTTAATTTCCTTTTCCAAAACTGAATGAATGAGGCATCTGGAGCCACCTGGATAAAGGGGGGATCTCTGAGAGCAAGGTGTATTCTGCAGCGTGGCTGTGCAAGTTCCAGTCAGGTAGCTAGGTGCCATGGCAGGACAGCCAAGTGTCTGTCATCTTGTGCAAACAACAAAAATCACGTATATACCTGGCACCTGATACTGAAACAGCTTTCTCAGTGAAGAACAACAAAGGCTGTCATGTTTCATGTCTGTTATTTAACTCCCCTTTTCCTATGGAACTGCCAGAAAGCAGAGTGGTGATGCATCTGACCAGTCAGTGAAATACTGGACAGGCACAAAGTGTCCTGGGGAAGCTGATCGAAGTGAGGCAAATGGACCTCAACTAACATTGCAATTGTCATCCTCTACCAGCTAGGATTCTAGATTTTAACACTCATCCCCATATGTCCATAACTAGTCAGAAGTGTTAATGACACTGAGAGAGGAAAAGCAATCATTCAAGTGGCTCTCCTGCTTATGTATTTAAAAGCAATATATATAACTGTCTTCTAAAACAAACTCTTAGTTCAAAAGGTCCTTTAGTCCAACCTTAACTCAAATCTGACTCCAGTTAAAATTTCTAAATGTTGTCTTTGCTCTGTGATTTTGACTTAAGACTTGTGGTAAGGAAAGCAGTGGCAGAGACATTTTGTTCCAGATTCCTCTCCCTACATTGAGCAGAATGGGCTACTGAGAACTGGGTGGCTCTGGTTACACGCACTCCCTTTCTACAGGTTGATGATCCCACTATAGACGTGGCTGACAGACCTGCTTTTTTTCCCCCCTCTCCTTTTTTGTAATGGTCAATGGAGGGAGCCCATGCTTATAAAGCCAAAGCTTCTATGTTTAATACCTGCTGCTGACAGTTTCCCATAAGCGCTATTCTGCACGGATGCTCAGGAAAAAAAACAAAGCACACAGAAAAAACAAAGAACATAAAAAGCAATTGACAACTAGAGCAGTGTTAGGCAGAGGAGTTCTTACCAGGCCTTTCAGTGAAGACATCTGAAGAAGAAAAATGGTTTGCCTCCTTTTGCAATAAACCCCTAACAGGCACCATATAAAATGGCAGCAGCATTAACATTCACCTGGCAGAAAGGGGATTTGGTAGCACCCCCATGAGAAGAAGGTTTATGCTTACGTTGCTGATGGCAGTGAATGCAGACGATCTGGCTGAGTGGCACTATTAATGCGTAGTCCCAGTAAACACTAATAGGGAAGGAAAGAGTGCAGGAAACATTTTTTTCTTCCACATTCAGGAATGCTTGCAGTTCCAAGCACCCCATAAAAAGACTCTGCTAAGTTAATAACTGCTTATTAAAATTGCTCAATTAAGGTAAATTAATAATAAAGTAAAAGGCAAAGGAACTAATTCTCCACAGTGGATACATCTGGCACCAGCCTTTCCATAACCTCCCTTTCTCTCTTCACCTCCCCTTCCCCCCCACTGCCCCATACCAGATTACAACAATGTTCTGGCTAAGATTAAAACACCTGGGGCACAGACTTCATGATGGTCTTGTAGCTGGATTTCAGGACAGCCAGGTTCTGTTCTGTCTTGCTCATGTGATTTATGGGCAGCAGCATGTAAATCCATTGGGGCTCAAGCTTACAGATTAAACATGAAACGCCCTGAACCCTTCTGAGAACAACCTTGACAGAGGTTAGCAATAAAAGCAAGGGTAGAGGTCTTCATTGATGTTCTATTAAAAAATACACACGAAGTTTTAGAAAAAGAATGGTGTGGATTAAGCATTTGAGAGCACTGTTCTGGTCCTGAAGGAAGCATTCCCTGAGGAGGCATACCTGCCTGGTTCAAGACTTTACCTGTCTTTCTACTGAAGCAGAATGCCAAATTAGATGAATAACTGATCTAACGAAAGACAATGACATTGCAGGTCTCTCTAGAGGCTGAAATTAGCCATGCTTGCCAAGTGATCTATGACCCTCTGAAGGCAGGTACTAGAATTGTAATGATGGAAGGTAGTGTTGAGCCTTTTCTCCCAAACACCTAGAAAAGTGGGGTTTTGTTTTCCTTTTGAAAAGGCCTTATATCAAAGTGCATTACAGGACCTTTGGAAAGTTGCTTAATCTGTGGCAAAACAGGAACAGAACCCAAGCTGTCTGACACCTCAACTTATGCACTATTCAGAAGCCCTTCAATTAAATCAGCCTTGTTACATTTATGTCATATTGCCAAGCATACAAGAAATAAACACCGTGAATGCTTCTGATCTTTTCCTGAATGCAATGACTACCTTTTCTCCAGCTCTGAATCTCCAAGGGTTCCATTCATCAGCTGATTTGGAGTCCATTTTAATGTCAAACTATCTGCTGACTGATGAAGGGAGAGATACCCAGGAATTGCCTCCAAGTCATCTTTCTGTTCACAGAAGCAACAAACAGACAATCCAGGTGACTCAAGTGCACAACTGTAATTGTCATGTTCCAGCCTTCCTATGTCCCACAAGTTCTAGAGCAGTGCATTATATAGGAACTGCTGAGGGAAGCCTTAACAGCAAAAGTACTGGTATTTAATATTGCTATTAGAAAGAGTGGAAAAAACACAGTAGGTTCACTGGGTTTATGAATACAGTCCAGTATGTTTGTTCCTACCTATAGGCCCACTTCACATTTCACATTGGTCAGGCAGTGAAAGCATTTGTCACATCTTAATTTACCTCAGCATAATAGAATCAAGTGGGAAGGCAGCACTGTCCTGAGGACAAGACATTAAGGAAGTACTCAACAAGCCTATTCTTACACATACTACCAACTTCTCAAGTCACAGCCAGGCAGCAGCTGTGTGTGTTGGCCCAAAACTCCATGTACTCACCGGCTGGACTAAGACATTGTTTTTTCCATATAAAAGGTGTGTTCGGGAATTCTGGTGCAAAGACTCCACATACTCTCTTGCCGAAGCAGCAAAGCGATCTTCTGATGTGCTCCCACTTGAATGTCGTTTCCGGACCTAGCACACAGACAAACACAGTCAAGGCAGATCAGGTAGGACAGGAATGACTGTACCAGCAGGCCAACAGAACAGGAACAGTTCCATTTAGACCAATCTCTGTAGAGTGGAACTTCTTCTTGAGCCAGGAGACCTTGCACAGAAATACCCTAGACTCTTACTCACCCCTGACCAAGGCAGCTCATAATTTCTTGTGAACTACCCAGTCAGATCACAAGTGTCAAAAGCTACAGAATTTACTCTTGGATCTCAAACTTTTCTACATACAGATAAAGAGGACATCTGGGCCCAAATGGACTTCTAATCTGCGATAAAGGCTCCATTACAGAAAAGAAAGATTGTTCTAGATTCAGATCTCTCCCTCCTGGCATTGTTTTTATTATCAACCTGTGCCTTAACTCAGAAATAGCTACGCAGTAAATACCTACTCCCAGGGCTGGGCGCTTCGAAGGAGAGTCTTGGCGGCCGTGTACTCCATGAATCCGGTGTCGTTGAACAAGCTCATCTGCTGAAGGGTCTGTCCAATAGTGATCTGCTGTTTTTAGCTTGGTGTACTCCAGAGCACATGGTCCAACTAAGAAAACAGCCCAAGAGAGAAACCTTCTGAGTCTGTTCAGACACGTACTTGGTCTTATCCTGCTGGCCAAGTACTGAAAGCGAGATTTCCTTCTCAAGCATGTGAATATTAACAATCACTTAATGATCCTACAGCATCAGCCCATAATGTAGACAATACATATAATAACATATCAGGTCCTATTATCTAGGGCTGTATAAAAATATTCCTGTAGGACACAATACCCTGCCATAGCAGCATGGTAGTTACAATCTGCTAGCAAGCATTCAGTAAAATGCTATTCACATTCTGTTCTCTGATCCATCCAATAATTAATAATAAAACCAGATGAACAGTCTCTACTAGTCTCCTAAGCAACAAAACAACATCATCTGTGTTGCTGCATTATAAATAAACTACATGCTAGAGATAAAAATCACCTTTTGTAACACTGTCATAATACAAAATGATTTAAGAAACAATTTATTTTCTTTAGCATAAGAAGAAGTAACTTTGCAAGAACTCACCTAGAAGAGAAGCCAGTATTGGGCCACAAACAGGATCTGCCAGTAAAGCTTCTTTTTCATAATATTTACTAGGAATAAAAGATCAGACCCCAGTCAAAAACACCAACAGTTATTTTTTAAAAGCTCTTATGCCTCCTAGTAACATGAGTAACATTAACTTTAAAAATATCACATGTTACTGCTTACCAGAAAGTATGCCAAAGGAAGTAAAAGAGGCAAGGGCAGAGAAGCTAGACACGCTGCTATTAACCTGACAATTCCTTCAGCATTTGCTGTGGCCCCCCAGCAGTCCAGTGGAAGTTGACTGCATGTGCAGGGGGAAGCATGACTACCGAAGTCACGTTCCAGGTCAGACTTCATACTTAAAAACTGAGGTCAAACACTCATTTCAAGAGCAAATTCAGACAATTAAATTACCTATATAAAAGGGAAGATTTAAGAGTTTAGAGTTCTAAGAGTTTTACCAAGGCTGAAAATAGGACCTAGGCTGCACATGTGGAGTGCTGCGCATGTACTGAAGCAGAACACATTTTCAAAGCTTGGTGTTAGTTACAGTTCTAACACAAAAATTCCAGCAATAGAATTTTGCTGTGATTATCAAATACACTCTCCCACACAATGGAATGATAAGAAAACTGTGTATTTAAACAGAGGCAGGACCAAAGGGATCCAAACCCTATATATTTCCCGAATTTGACAGGTAGAGGAAGAGCAGTTGCTAGGATTACCTAGAAATCAGCTATGTATGCATCTCCTCTAAAAGCTCTAATGGAGCTTGACTGGCTCATCTACTGAACTTGTAAAGAAGAAACGTTGTGTTGGGTTTGCAGGTAAAAAAGGCTTTTACAACATGGTGTGTCCTGAACTATTTTTAAAGGTCATTAAAATATATCATAAGAAAGCTATGGAGAAATTAATTTAGCCTATTGTAGATACCTGCTTTAGAATTAGATCATTTCCTAAACTACATCAGTAACATTGACTGGACCTCCATGGAGCATAAAAGGAGCTCAAGAACAACAAGTTCAATAAACATACACTCCAGACTTCTATATTTAACAAGACTACCACCACCCCTACTTTGGATCCATATTCCGCCCTTGATCAGCTGTGTAATCTCAGGCAAGTCACTTCCCCCCCAGTATGCTCATTCTACCTCATCTATTTTTGAACTGAGCTCAAGAGGCAGGAGCTTGCCTTTTGCTAAATGTGTTTACCCAGTATATTTGATTTGGCGCTTTGACCACTAATGCAATATGGAGACAAACAATAACTCTGTGCAAGCAATTTTGTCAGTTTTCCACAGAAACCAAGAGATCCACACATTCTTAAACATCTCTTCCATCTGTGAGGAATAATCTTGAAACACTGTCAAGAAAAATGACCTACTACAAATAGTAGCTCTTGCAATGACCCCCAAAGTCTTCTTATCACAGCAGGCAAAGCTGACTTATAAAACCACATAGCCAAAAAAAAAAAAATCAAAACACCCAAATTTCTTGAACTGTCATTATCCTCTGCTGTCTCTCCCACTAGGTGGGGCTCAAACTCTAAACCACCTTCTCTTCATCAAGAACAGCAGAGCTGAAGGACTTAAACATGAAGCATTTGAGCAGTAATGTCACAAAAACACATGAGAACAAGCCTTATGAAGAGGTTTGCTTTATTCACTAAGTCAGGTTCTCAAAATCACGCACGTGCAATTAAGGACCTGATCCTAACTCATTTGAATGGATGGAGAAGGCAGTAAGGTGAACATCTATGATACACAGTAATGGAACAATTAAGACTGAACATTCTTGACACATCTCCAGGTGAATTACGTGGAAAAAGAAATTAAAAAATCCTTGTATCCATGTATCAGCAGACATCTTGATACAACAGACTAAAATGCTTTCATTAACTACGTCTCTGGGACACAGCCAACCCTCCCGCTGTCTCTTCTATACTCAACTCTTAAAACAAACTGGCATTAGATATCCCAGAGCAATAGTTTTCTTTGAACAGCAAGAAGACCTTTCTTCCATTCTCCTCCTTTTTATTGGCAAGATAGATCATGAAAATAAAGCTGATGACAAGGAAAACAGTAATGCAAACCTGGAAAATACTGTGAAAATAAGTTCCTCTCCCTTGTTTAGACCCATGGGCTCTGGACAGCCAAGAACGTGTCCCGCCAGTGCAGAATTACAAGAGCACCACTGTGAACAAATTGTGATGGCAGTGGGTACAGACGTATCTTTCTGGGACCATATCAAGTTTTAGGGTTCCTACCTTTCTCTTCTTATGGGAAATTGTCCCCAGTGTGCCCCATAATTCTTCTTTATCAGTTATGGGAGGGTAGGAACAGTAAGAGTTAAGAACCAGCTCTTGGGAAACCAAAGCCAATGCTGGACAGTAGGAAGCAATAATAAAATAGAGAAGACTTGTTTTTTCCTCTTAAGGAGTCCCTGTGGATTACATACATAAAGCATTGGTGCTCTTCAGTTTTGCAAGGGAAGATTCACTTTGCACAAAGCTTGACTTTTCTAAAAAGGAACCATGACTCAAAGAACCTATTTTCACAGCCCTAAGGTTTTATGCCATTAACCCATCCTGTTCTAAACTCATTTCCCCTTCTTTCATCTACAAAGGGCATTTTCCTCCCTGACATCTTAAAGTTCCAAAGGACTGTTTTCAACTAATATAAGTGAATTAAGCACTCCTGACCTATTAGAAGACATTTCTATTCCACTAAGGTCTAGGTCCCATTAGAATTTGGGCACCTAATATACTTCAAGTTAGTTTTTTAGCTGATTTCTGGAAAGCTGTATGGCTGTTAACATTTTTCTAAGTCTGAAACACTGTCAATGATTCAAAACAAAAGTACATTTTTTTTCTAAATGCCTGTGCAGCTGGTTTTCTTCTTACCAGAAGTCTGCATCACAGAAGTTGTCAGAAGACCTTGTTGCAGATACCCAAACACCTCAGTCCAACAAATCCCCGTGCTTCTGATTCTTTCCTTACCTGCAGTTATCGACGATATACTGCACAATCTTGTCGAGTACTTTCTCAATCAATGCTGTCCGAACCCATATGTGTTTGATGGCCTGAGGTGTCAGGACAGGTGTTTTGCTTGTGGTTGATCCCTGCCTCTTGAGGGGTTCCTGCCCATTTGGCTGATTTTTCCTGCAAAAGGAGATAAAGTAAAAGTAGTCAGAATTCAGATGACTCTTCTCACAGAAAGCTCTCCAGTGAAAGACTGCGTGGAGAGGTGTTGGAACACACAACACGTATCTGACAAATGTGTATCTGTGTACTAGCTGTCTACATTACTGTGTTAGTACTCGCTACCACTGGGGTGCGGAGTTTTAGTTAGTCCATCATGTGGGATTTTCTGAAAATCATCACTCTAAAGATTTAGGATGCCTCAGTTCCAAGTTGTGAATAGGAAAAGTCTATAAAGATTATCTAATTCACAGACAGATGCTAAACAAGCTCTAAAGAAAGCCCCCAAACAGGCCCTCAGGCTAGGTAGTCACCTACCAAAAATACCTTTTCCACTTCTGGAGCTTTAGGAAAAGCCCAACATTTGTGCTCCTCTAAAACTCCCACATACTAGGCTGAAATGAATAGGCTGTAAATTCACTGCAGACCATACACTCCAAAAGAATGAAAAAACAACAAAATGCAAAGTGTAGCAGAAAATAAGTAGCACCTGATGAACAGAAGTTTGCTTCTTATCAAAGCAAGCTTCGCACTTAGTTGGAAAAGCCCAAGGGAGGATGGTAAAAAGAAGATTCTTGCCTCCCAGCTTTGTCTGGTACCTTCAGGCTGAAGCTAGCCATGACCCCAAGAAAGCACACGGCTGTTTCAGCATGAGATATTCCCACTGAGACCAGAAGCATGGAGTAGGATTTGAGATAACACAGGCAGAGCTTTTCCAGGGACCTCCTGCTATACGATCATCCGGCAATCCTTGGGCACAGGCCCATCTTTTCGTTGTCTCTGTAAAGCACCATATATAGCTATAGCAGAGTCTGTGCTACCATCCTGGCAGTGAGATCCTACCTCCTACCACCTACAGAGTGACAACAAGACACCTAAGAGAGAAGCAACAGCAAACTGAGAAACTAGAACTATAGCAAATGAGCATCCAAAGCCAGCTGGGAGCTTGCTTACTGCCAAGACCCACTGCTTATTCCTCCAGCGTAAGTCAGCACAGCAGCAGGTCCACCTCAGACTGAGGAGCTTAATGCTGCCTTTTAATGGCAGGATGGCAAGCTGGCTATACAAAAAGCAGAATCACTTCCCAAGTGCGGCTGTAAACAAGAACATGGGGGCTGCTCAGGACAGTGGTCTCTGAACCATGCGGCAAGTTGTCATTCCTCTCTTATCTGCTGCCCAAATAAATCTACTTGACCCCAGTCCAATGAGGGACAGTGGCATGTTGTGCCCCAGGCATGCTGTGGGCAGGTGTTTTGCCGCACGTACTTCTCTCTGCAGACCCCAGTATGGCATACTTCCTGCCATGCCACTGCACAGCTTCGCATGGTTGGAGCTGCAATTTGCGTCATGCCAAGGAGCAGCTTCGTGCCTTCTCAGCACAACGTGTGCTCTTATCCATGCTGGGTGTCCTGCCACAGTGAGCATCCACCTCTCATCCATTGAGTACTGGTGTCCAAAATACATTTTCATACTGACAACAATGCTCCCTTCACTTCTTCAGTGGCACTGACACAAATTATTGCTTGTCACTGTTGAGATAATTAACAGCCTGAACAGATTTGGAACCAGAGATTGATTTTGAAGCTGAATGTGCTGCCCTGAGCCTTCCAGTTTCTAAAAGGTGACCCACAAAAAGGAAAATGGGTTTGTTCTCTCCATTTCTCTTTACTGCTGCCTAGCAAAGTCGCTGAAACGTGAATTTGTGTTCCCCTCCTCCCTCCCCACTAGCTTTGCCTGCGGCATGAGTTATGTAAGACAAGATGACAACACTACTCCATACTGAATACCTAATATGCAGCAGCAAGTCACAATGCACAATTTTATAAGGTGGTACCAGCCAACGTGAGTCTCCCATGACAGCACTGGTGGGGCACTGCCCCAGATCCTCTCCTCCTGAAATATGTAACACGCTAAGCCATGTGTCCATAGCATAGCTGGTGGTGAAGCTGTGCCAGCCCTGCCACAGCATGTGATGACATCTTGTGATGGGCCCGTGCTCCTGCATCAGGTAATATAATACAGTTGCAGGAGAAAGTGAACTATAAAGCTGAGCACGGGGAGAGCTTCCTACTTCTGCACAGTACTGCTGTCTACTTGTACTCTCCATGTACTGCATAGGGCTGACAAGGGAGGACTAACCCCCTTTATTTCTTTCCCAGAAAACTTGCACCTTAAAATAGCAGAAAAAGAAGGTTCAATTTTGTCCTAATAAGGAGAGAAACCCTGACATCTTCAACAATCTGCAGTAGAAAATGCACGTTCTCAAATGATCCTGTGCTTTGACAGTACTCAGGTCCCCTTTCAGGAAAGCGTTCAATTACAAAGAGTAAATACGTTAATTGGGTGCTGTTCTGAGTGAGATCTGTAATTCCTCTCTGCATTTACACAGTTCCTAGTCCTCCATTAGGCCATGACAGCACCTCTACAAGGCAACACACACACAGTGACAATCCCAAGTCAAGAAATACACATGACACCACTGACATCAGAGGAATTCAGATGTGCTTAACTCCATCCTAAAGAGGGGCGTTCTTAAGCCACAGTCTCAGGAGCAATTAGACTGCTGCAGTGCTTCTGTCTCATTTTATATGTTCAGCGAAGTGAGTCCACCCCCTGCAGTATTTCCTAATAGAGTCTCTTTGCTGTGCATATTTTCTACAGCACTTAAAATTTGTGGTTGTTAATAGCTGAAAAAACACACAAAGTTTTTCCAAGAGAAACCACAGAATTTAAGTTCATTTGCTCCTTTCTGTTAGAGGACAAAGCCAAAGGTCTCTGGTGGTTAGAGTGGGGTTCATGCGGGCTCTTAACTGAGGAGCAAGGCTGGTGAATTTTCAGGAGAAAGCATCCTTCTTCCCAACATTTAAAAAACTAAAATTAATAAAATTCCAGTCTATATCAGTAGGTACACAATTAAAAGAAAATATCAAAAATAGGCACCAATCTGTTAAAAACTACATAATGAAGTCTGATAATTATAAGTCTAATTTTCTGGCATTTATCTTTATTAAACAGAAATGTAAGTATAAGTGCCAATTTAAACAACTGTCAATAATTGAAGACTTCAGTGCAACAAAAAGTTAAGCTCTCTTGACAAAGCCCTTCATACAGCAAGTTGATCAAGAGGCTAAAAGTTCCTACAATGTACAAAGACGTCTTAAGGCTTAGCAGTTCCACTGCACTACTGTCTACAAACAGAACAAAAAATGCTCCTGTCCTGAGTTTACAAGAAAAGACAGTCATCCCACAGGCTCATGCACTGTGATTCAGTCAGCAGAACCACATGGAAAATTTTAATTGCACTACTTAGCACTAGCAAGAAGTTCAGGACTTTCAGCAATCTCAAGTCCTTGACTCCACAACGAATTCAGTTGTGCTCAAGTCCAGCATGTACTTAACTGCTTTCCTATAATCAGCCTCTCACTGCTGACCACCTCTTCTTGAGTTCATCCTTCCTCCTATCATTCTTTGTATCCATTAACTTATTTCTACCATAATACCCACAAATCTTCCGATACTGGTTTGGCAAGGAACATGCCAAACAGCTTTTCCAGTAAGTCTGTTCTTCAGTTCCTCTTGCCATCCACATCCCTTCCCACCAACAGTCCAAACTGGTCCACCACACCCTGACTGTGAGCATTCTCTAAAATCACCAGTTATTATTCACTTTTGTTGCTTTATGTGGACTGGATGCGCAGATCCGCTATACTGAGAAGCAAAACGAAACACCAAAGACCCAGTTCCCAACCTCTGTCCCTTTGCTAGCTGTCAGCTTGATCAAACAAAAACATTTGCCTAATAGTTACAGACACTAAAGAGACAAAGCTTTAACAAACGTGGCCAAGGAAGACCCCTTTGCATTTACCAAGCAGTCTCCGTATCCTCTCCATGCTGCACGCACATCATAAGAATTTTGCTGATAAAGAGACCTCAGCCTCACCTGCTTTCTACCTGCTGCTGCAGTTCCTGCACTTTCTTGCATATGTCTCCAGCTATTGTGTATGTCTTGCCAACTTTGGTGAACAGTGCAGCCACCTTGTCAGTCCGCAGGAAGCCAGCAGCCCTGCGCTTCAGCATGTGCAGGAGACACGCTTCCACAACACCTGCAAGAAATGGAAGGAGATAAAGTTATGGGTACTGCTGTCCTTCAGTCTTCTCTTTGGTGAATGCCATCTGCTAACACCCACTGGTCAGGTGTGGAGTCAAGAGAACAGAGGAAGGAGGGGAAGAGACAGACAGAAAGACAGACTAGATCTCAAAATCAGATGACACAAGCATGTCTCTAATCAGCAACAATAAGCACCTTCTGAGTTGCAGGTAACGTCAGTATATAAATGAACCAAGGACTGAAATATCTCCCAGTATTTTCACCCCATTTTACGCATGTCACTGTGAAAGAATTCCCGATTCAACTGAAAATGAAGCCAAAGTCAAAACCTCTTCTCAACTCTTCATAGCAGAACCAGGTTCCCCAACTCAAGATATAATGAGCTAGAAATCTGCTTTTACTGATGATCTCTGTTTTGAGCAGAGGCTCCTGTTTATCTTTGTGAGTTGCTGCATCCATTTCTCCCACTTGTATTTCTCCATATGGTAGGGTGTTTGCAATGAAAAGGACTAATTGGAGGTCATACTTTCCTGTTATTTGCTACTCATTTTTAAAACCATGTTGTAGGAATTTTAGCACTGGCCTGTGAAGAATGATACTGGCAAGAATACATCTCATGTAAGTTATACAGAGTTCAGGTTCAAACCTGAACTGATCTCTGAATGCAGAACGTGAGAAATTGCTGTATTTAACCAACTACTGGCATGCAGTCGATTGCTGTGTATCATTTAATCTATCTAGTGACCACACAGCTTTCCTTGCCACAAGATCTTGATTTGCGGAAGAGGCTAGAACAAATCATCCTTTTATTTCCAATTATTAAAATATTAACTCTTCACGTCCCAAATGGAAGTGAGATACTTTCATTATGCCACCTCTCATTGGAAATAGGCATGAAAATAACAAAAAACATCTACCAACCCCCTCCCCCTCAACTGCCTTATGTATTCCATTCTCCTCCAGCAAAGGGAAGACTATGAAAAGAGCATGAGACATGCAAACATTATTATCTCATTGGTTAACACAATTGGGAAGGAACTCCGATGCAATGAGACTACGGTATACATGGAAACCTACAGGACGGTAAGGCTGTATCAGGAGAGTTAAAGCTGCTTTTATTATGTGTTTCACTGTTTCAAATGGGATATTCAAGACAAAGCCACAAACTGCTCCTAGAGTACTGCTGCCTGCAGATCTCTCATTACATGGTGACTAATACGAAACCTAGAGAGATGAAGAGGCTGAGGAGAGATGTACAAGAATCAAAGCCAGAGCTTTGCTTTCTTCAGAAGACATATAACCCACAGGCATTTGGAGTCCAGCTAGGTCACAGCTGAGCTGAGCTGGTTTTTGGGGGGTATTTGTGTGTGTGTGTGTGTGTGTGTGTGTGTTTTAATATTCCTGAACTCTGAAACAAGTCTCACTGAGGGAAGTGGATTTTTGAGTTGGCTGGGTGGAGAAGCTTGGTTGTTTTACTGTGTTAATAGAAGGGAACACGTATCAAACACAGCAGCGTGACAGCTGGGTGGAAACAAACTCTGCTGGGAAGTGGTACAACGATGATGCCTTCCACTCACCTAGATTACAGGAAAGACATTTTCTTTCTGGTGAAAACAGCAAAGATAGGAGACTTCTAACATCATCCCACTCAATCCTCCCTCTGTTCCTTCACATTAGGAACACATGGATTAATAACAGTGAACTTAAACATCACCACCGGACATTTCAGTTCACTCTCCACTGATGAGTGGTCCACAGATTGCAGTTGCTCCAGGCTCTCTGCATATTCACACCGTTCTCTGTTACGCTGGGTTTGTCACCTCAAACACAATTACAAATAGCTAGACCTGTAATGAGCTTCCACCACCACTTGGATAGACTCTCTGATTTGAAATGCTTAGCACACCTTAATCAAATTATGTTGTGGGCATCCATGTTCCAGCCTAGAAAATTCTCCAAGCGCCAGGGGCAAGCTCCTAGAAGAATGACTTGTTCAAGGCTTTGCATCAGTAACAAAGATCTCCAGGGTAAGATGCCCATGTACCCAGCAACCGTGCATCTTGATGTGGTAGGATGTAGAGCTTGGAGAAGCAATAGCCATTGGCTACTGGATCTGTTAAGGAATCAACTGCAACTCAGGCATCATGATTAGGAGCTAGGGAACAAAGTGACAGACCTCGGGAAAAGACAGCATCACCTGTGACTGGCATGAAGTTACTCTGCAACCACAGGTACTGAAGATGAACCAGTTGTTAGGACACTTGCTGGCCTAAAATCATAGGGGCTACTGGAAAACAAATAGGAAACTGAACAATTATGCTAGGGAAGATAAAGCCCTCCCAAAGCACTGGAGATCACTACAAGACAATAAAGCCATAAAACCTGATAAGATAGGCTCACCTTCCAACAGAAGGAATCCAAAACATAACACTATACCAGCTACTACAAAGAAAATTCACTGTCCCAGCTGAAACCAGGACAGTCCATCATCTAGCTTTGGACAGAAAGATTAAAAGGCCTATGAACTCAGAAGAAAATGTAATACTACTACAGCCTGAAAGGGAATAGAGATGCAGCCAGACCTACAACTACAACAGATCCATCTGTGAGGTTCATTTTGCAAACCTTACTGTAACATGCTCTGATGGTCATCAGTAAAAGACCGCATTGCACTATTTCAGCCTTGCAAGACTGTGCATCAGAAATCTAACCAGGTCTCATGTAACCTGCTGCAGGAAAAAGAAATAAGATAAATACAAATAAAAAAACCCCAACAAAATAAAAAACAAGCCTTCTCTATCAGCTTTTAAATCGAGACTGCAGACGACTCACCCAGTCAACACTGTCCATAAAAAGGTATGAAGGAGAACAGACCAATTCATTCATAGGGAGGGGGAAAACCCCAACTTTATCTGCAAGGTGTGCACTCGCTGAGACCCACGCAGGTATGCCAGCCCTTACAGAAGGGTTTAAGTTCAGCATCTGAGCAATGCTGTCCTGCATTTAATAACAGCAGGCAGTCCTGCGGTAAATTGCAGTTAGAATTGCCACATTACATTTTTGTTATGAGTGACAAATGGTACTCCATCTGCTCTGATACACATTGCATCTCTCCCGAGATTCGGCAGCTAATTTTGAAAGAAGGCAGTTATTTTGTTGCACTTTAAGCCCAATACTGTCAGGTGCTGAGCATTTCCTGAAGACTCCCCCTCCTTATTGTGCTTAATGGCCTCCAAATCCCATAATACCTGAAAGCCTGTGTCTGAAAAAGACCTCTCCTCACTGCTCAGTCCCTGAAAACTAACCTAAGTCCCAGGCAAGACTGAACGGCATGCAGAAACACCTCCTGCATTTAGCTAGCCTAGAAGCTACAGCAGTTGGGGGATCACAGAATGTTGTCTGTATTGAACAGTGTTAGTAAAAACATCCCCTTCATCTCCAGCACTGCTACCCTATTTCTTTGCTTTGCAAGACTAAAGAATGACCTGCTAAATGAACAAAAAAAAAAAATTAAGAGAAGCATTTATGAAGTATTAATGACTTCACATTTTGTGTCTTATCACACTGGAAAAGAGAAAACTCTAATTGGCTTCCTGCTATCACTCACTACACAAATTAACCTAATGCGTGTTCAGAAAGCACAACCATTTGCTCTTTGAGTGCAAAAAACAGCACTACAAAAACAAATTGGAAATGTGCTGTGGGATAACCATGCCATTATTTTGCTTTCAACTGTGAAGGCAGATATGTTTTTAAGCAAGTAACATTGGATAAAATCTGACAGAAGATAAAATTTCCATGGAAAGCCCTAATTTCCTGATGAGACAGCCAGTGAAATTAAATACTGATGGCTTGGGGATACGGGATTGTTCATTTTTAACGATTTTTATTGAGATACAACTAACCTGAGTTAGCAAAGCCAAGTCTTCTAATTGTATACCCTGAATTCATTCTCTGTAAAATAGAGAAGTCAACATTCATTCTTCTCCTCCTTCCTAGTCCTAAGTTTTAGACTGCAACTTCTTCAGAATAAATTTGATATATTCCCTTATTGCACAACCTATATGAGAAGCACCGCAACTGAAACTCCAATTTCAACTTAAAATGAAGCAAGAAACATGTACTGTCTTAACAAGTCTCTCTTCAAGCTGCCTAATCTAAAACATGTCATGTAAATGCTGTTGCCAAGCTTTCCAAAAGCACAGGATCATGATGCACTGTGCGGTGACCAGCTTCTTCCAACACTCGAACAACAGGGACAATTCAAATAAACACAGGAAAACCGTACACACACATAGCCATCCTCCAATAAATGAGTAACTCAGGAGCTTGGCAAGCAGTACAGGTGGTATAAATGAAATAGCATGTCTCATGTACTTACTGATAACGAAGGACTTGTTTTTTTCTTTTGTTTTGTTGCAGGGCTTTTTTTTTTTTTTTAATAAATAAGAGCATTTGAGCAGTCACAGCATTCAATTGATGTCTTCGGCATAAATGCTCATGCTTTGCATATCCACACCCTCTACTGTTCCGAGGGCAAATGGACAAAGTTGCTGTTGTGTTAGAAAGTGGACAAAAGAAATACCAGCCCATCTATGTTATTTCCATGTTGCTGTAACCCAAATAAAGCCTTACTAAGTGGTACAAGAAGGTATTCATACACTTTTACACCCACTATCTCTCTGAAAAAAAATAGCGTGATTCACCCTTCTTTGTGATCTCTCATTTAATTGCTTATTACCTCCCAGTTTCACTTTAAACAGCGCCAAGAAACTCATGTTTGGATGGATAAATAGAGTATCCTAAATTTAAAAAAAAACGGTTATTTACTTTCGGTATTACACTAAGGTCCCATTGCATCAAGCAGTGTATAAACACATACTGAGAAACAAACACACATAGGTAAGACTGATAAAAAGTAGAAGAAAATATATATAAATTTATCCCACTTTTTGCAGTAAGAGAACAGCATTCTTGAACGCTTAAAAGACTTAT